TCGTCAAGTACCTCATTTACCTGAAACTATGTTTATGTTTTTATGTTTTTATTTATTTGGCAGACGCTTTTATCCAAAGCGACTTACAATTTATAACCTATAGGGCATGTTGTGATCTGTGGGGGAAACCGGAGTACCTGGAGGAAACCCACGCGTGCATGGGGAGAACACGCAACTCCACGCAGAAAGGCCGCACCCGAGTTTCAAACCTGCGACCTTCGTGCTGCGAGGCAACAGTGCTAACCACTGCGCCACCATGCAGCCACTATTAAACTATCGATGCAACATGTCATGGGTGGTTCCGTAGGTTGAGTGCTTTGCAGTCATGTTTCTGGTTTTATTGTATTTCTGGTACTTCCTGTTTCATTTTGTGAATTCATTTCCTGTCTCATTGCAGGCAGCTTCACGACCTGAGGCTCCTCACTTATCAGCCTTATGTCTTCCACCTGTGTCCTGGCTTCTCCCTTTATGCTAATTGCAAACGGATTCCTTCGCCAGTCTGTCTTCATCTGTTGAGTAAAGTGAACCTGCTCTCGGCAACGCTTTGTGAGAGTGTATTTAGTCAGTTTTGGACTTGTTCAGTTGTGCTGTACAGGCCAGGAATCCTTTTCAGTTCATCAAACAGTGTGAGCTCTGCATTTGAGTCCTCTTATGTGCCTTGATACATCATTAATGAAACATTGCATAGATCTGAGTTTGTCACATTTATCTCTTACACTTCATGAGGCTGGGTTGTTTTCTTTTAAGGGACTTGAAAGCAGCTTGGACACCCCCTTTAAAGTCATAATCAGTATTATTTTTTTCTCATAAATTACTAGTTTGTGAACTTGAGAGTGGCTGTGCAGAAACTTACAGAAGGTTAAAAATGTCCCACCCATTCTCTTTGTGGGTTAAGCGCCTGAAAGCGTGCTGTTCTATGAGAGTAATGTTGTGCTTGAGTGTTAGAGTGTGTTGTGGTGAAGACGGACAAAGGGCAGGAAACTCCTGTGGCCACACACAGTTTTAGAGAATGCACTTCCTTTAAGAAAGTGCAAGACAACAAACAGGCAGAAACTTCTGAAAACGGGGAACTGAGAGGTGTCACGAAAGCCGTCTTAGTTTGAAGTTTGTTGCGTTGACAAATTAATCTCTTGTTAAACTGAAAACATGACCGTGGTTTCTGAACATTTCATCTTTCAGGACACAAAGCAACAATCGAGACACCTCAGATTGGTTGTTGGTTTTTCCTTGGCTTTGCTTTTATTTCAATTATAGTAGAACTCGTCAGAAAGCCAGTCAGTATCTGGTGTGGCCACCATTTGCCTCATCTCCAACGCGTCTCCATCCATAGAGTTGATCAGCTTGTTGATTGCGGCTTTTTGGTCCATTCCTCTTGTGAAGCTGTCGAATCTTGGCAGGAACTGGAAAACGCTGTCGTATACGCCGATCCGGAGTATCCCAAACGTGGGTGACATGTCCGGTGACTATGCTGGCCATGCAGCTGGAATGTTTTCAGCTTCCAGGAGTTGTGTACAGATCCTTGCGATATGGGGCTGTGCATCATCATGCCGCAACATGTGATGGTGACGACGATGAATGGCACATCGGGTCTCAGGATCTCAGTACGGTATCTCTGTACTGTCAAAATGCCATCAACAAAAGGCACCTGCGTTGTAAATAGCATACACCTGCCCATACCATAACCCCACCGCCACCATGGGCCATTCCATCAACAACGCTCACGCTGTCTGCCATCTACACTGAACATGAAAACTGGGATTTATCCATGAACAGTACGCCTCTCCAATGTGCCAGATGCCATCAGATGTGAGCATTTGACCACTCAAATTGGTTACGCCAACAAACTGCAGTCAGGTCCAGACCCCAATGAGGAAGCCGGGCATGCAGATGAGCTTCCCTGAGACGTTTCTGACAGAAATTCTTTGGTTATGCTAACTGGCTGTTGCTGCAGCTTTCCGGGTGGCTGGTCTCAGACGATCACGGAGGTGAACCGTTACTCATTACAAATAAATGCACATGTTGTGGCAGCTATAGAAGTTGGCATTTTCCACCTGCAGTACTCATATCCTCCACCTGAGGGCAGGAGTCACTACTGCAAGTTTGAAAGTAGGAATGCCGCTAATAAGGTAGAGAAGGTCGCATTAGAGGACTAAAGATTCAAACTAACCAAGCCAAACAAGTTTGTTGTTACGTTTCTTTTATATTTATGTATGTGACCAGTTATGAAATACCCCAGTAATACATTTAAAAGCGTGTTTTTCTGGTGTAACTGGTCCAGAAGCTTCTATTAGGAGGAAAATATTGTTTGATTATTTCCATTCAAAAATTTACAATTGTGCATCAAATCCGGTCGAGTCGTGCCAAAACTTTAAAAACGGGACCCAATGCCTCCCTGCTTGACACTCAGCTTTGAGCGGTTAGATGGGGGGGGGGGGGGGGGGGGGTTGAACCACCAAATAGCTCCCGAGTGCAGCCCGTCGATGGTGCAGCCACTGCTGCAGCTCACCGCTCCCCACGGACAGGGATGGGTGAAATGCAAAGATGTAATTTCACCAGTGTGTGATTCCATTCAATTCAATTCAAAAAGACTTTATTAATCCCAGAGGGAAATTGATGCTCAGAATAATAATAACAATCAAGTCACCAAAGAGTTGTTGTATATTACAATGGCTGTTGGCAGGAAGGATCTCCAGTAGCGGTCAGTGTTGCAGCCAAACTGAAGAAGCCTCTGACTGAAGACACTCTTCCGTTGTCGGACAGTCTTGTGAAGAGAATGCTCAGGGTTGTCCATCATTTTCTTGATTCTCTGGAGAATCCTTCTTTGCATTATCTCCTCCAGCGGTTCCAAAACTGCTGAAACTCTGGCTGAGTCCTTGAAAGGGCTTGGAGTTCCTCCATCTTGTTGGCCAGTGATCACACATTGCCCATTATGATCAATGGAAGAGATGGTTTGAATTTCCTCTTTCTCTGTCTCCGTTTTGCTCCCGCTCTGCACCCACGCTTCTTGCGTTTTAGCTCCATTGGGATTTGTGGCTTCAGTTGAGGTATTATTTCAGCCTTTCCCATGTTAATCAGCTGCTCCCGATTGTAAACCAGCTTGTTGCCATGGTTACGCATCATAACAAATGCTCAAAAAGTGAAAAAAGCTAAAAAAATAGCAGTAAAAATCCTCCAAGCTTCACAGCACCAGAAACAGAAAAGTAAAGTGTCCAAAAAAAAAACAGTTTTTCTTGAGAAACTAGAAGAAAAAAATGCCCAAGAAAAGGCAAAACTTACATATAGTAAACAGAGCTACTCCTACATGCAGCCACCCAGAGCAGCGCGGTTCCAGTAAAAGATGACGACTGACGGCACTGTCTATTTTGTTAAGCTTCTAAAATTATCAATATTTATTCTATCAATGAAACCTGATATCTATATTCCACCACGGTTTCCCTGTTGGTCGTTTATTGTAACACCTAATTCTCCCTTTAGACTTCACCTTAACCGCATCATTAACTCATCTCACAACCATCATAAAACAAACAAGAAATTCCCTCCCCGCCCACTCTGAGCTTGACACAACTCTGTGCAGATCTCTTCCTGCATGGCACGCTTTTGTTTTACTGCTTTCGCTTTTCATCCAGCCTCGTGCGTGCAGCGTACGATTAGCAGCCGGGGTCATGAAGGACAAATGTGACACTTGTTGCAGCTTTCATACACACCCAGTCCAAGTTGGCGCCAGGTGTGCGTGGATGTAACTGTGTGCTTTTTTCCTGCACTATTCATCTGCTTCCTTAAAACGTGCAACAATCATTTCATGTTGTCTTGGACAAATGTTAGATGTTAAAAGCTTCTGAATAAAGACAAAAACGTTAGATTTTACAGCTTAGGGGAAATAAATCAAATAAGCAAATAAAATTAAATAAACGTGAACTAAATATTTATCTGGGATCGGATCTGGAGGATTTTCTGTTCCTAAAAATAGACAATCTCAGCTACAAGTGCCCACAGGAGGAAATAACAACAAAGGAAATCCCCAAACTCATCTCTTAAAATCACTCCTGAGATGGAAGCAGCAGTAGGTTGTTGCTGCTCCACCAGACTACATCAGGGATCTCCATCAGCTCAGAAACATGATGCACTTTCATCTCTGTAAGTCTCTGTCAGGCATGTTTGTAAAGATTCATTCATTTGATTCTTTGTTTTTTGTTGTATTTTAAGAGTGCTGGACACAGTTATTATCAGTTATTCATATGTAATTATTCATCTTGTTGTATTTTCACAACATCAAACTGGTTTCTTTTGACAGTTGTTAAAATTAAATATTTAATATCAGGATGTGAGCGTCTGCAGGCGCATTGGGATCAACGTCATGCTGCTCGGTTTTATTGGCCACAATTCTGTTTGTTCAAGATGCAGCGTACCAATTAGGCAAGCCGTTTTAACATTTAATAGGCAGACTAGATGTGTGTTTCAGATGTCAGAAACGTTGTTTCCGCACATTCTTCCTATCTCGAATGGACCTTGTTGATAACAGGAGCTGAATTCTTACTAGGAGAAATTCTCATTTTACATAGCTTTAATTTAGTTTCCAGTAAAAACTCTTATTTGAGGTTAATTGAAAACGATTTTCCAGGAATCTGTAAAATTTCTGCGAACATCCAAGCAAATAATCCGCTCATCCATGTCATTTATTTCATTTATTCTTTTCATGATGTTTTAGAACGCCTGGAATAGTCGTTGATTTAGAACAAGGACATCATGACTCTAAATTAAGAATTTCTCCTCACAAGAATAACATTTCGGCTCTTGTTCATTCAAGATAAAAATGAATGAATAAATAAATACACATGAATCTGAAATGTTTGTCCTAAGAATTACAATATCTAAAGTGAATATTTGGATTATTAAAAATGACTAGGAGCAATGTATTTATAGATATCAGAAATACGTGTCCAGTCTACCTAAAATGTATTAAAACTGCTTGCCGTTCTTTCAGTTCTTTTTATGGGTTTTGAGATAACCGCTTGGTGCAGTTATTTTGGATATCCATAAATAAAATTTAGTAAGAACTAACTAGGATAAATTACATTGTTGCTATGTAAAGTAGGAGTCACAAAATTACGAAAAAGGTTTGGTTGTTGATTAAATGTTAAAGTGGCTTGCCAAAAGGATGCTTGCGGTTTTCTGGTCTGCAGACTTTGCCAGCTGCGTCCTGATGCTCACCCTGAACTGGCGCACATCCACGGGGCTGCCGCTGCCCAGTCCGAGCACAAACGAGGATGTTTTCTGCACATCGCTCTTCAAGACCCTACTGACAAGCATCACGGATCTTCTCAAAACTGTTAGTAATCATTGTTTCTTTTATTTTATTTTATTTTCTTTTATTTTATTCACACCATCTGTATTTTGTAGCAGGAGGAGTTGTGTCACAGTTTGATCACCTCCAACGAAGTCACTGTTCCAAGTGTGAAGACAGTCCAGTCCTGCACGCCCACCATGACTCGGGTATCATTCGTTCATTTCCTTTTTATGGTTTTAAACAATCTAACAAATGTTGTACGTCTTAACATTTTCGTCAACATTTAAAATGTCACACTGAAAACAGAAAAACAATTTTTTGTTCATTATTTCTGATGATCAGTCTCCTACACCTTTCTCCTGCATTAGCGTCTGATAGAAAACAGACGGTGAAACTCTAGGATTAGACAAGCCTGACAGATCTGCGTCACACTGTCACTAGTGTTCATGGACTCACTCATCTGGACTCACGACGGGGAAGGCTGTTGTTTGTTTTAGTGTCCAGGAAACAGCACAGAACGTCTCGGCTAGTGGAAGCTAACTGTTAGCATTAGCAACATCGCCGCTCGGCAGATGCTCCTCCAGGCTTGTGTTATTTGTGGATATCAAGCATCCACTTTGCAAGTCAGAGGTAGAGTCATGTTGCTGTTATCCAATCCGAGGTGAGGTGTCCAAATATCAGGAAATACGAGTCCAAAACCTGCCAAACTCGGCTGTTATGTAGGACACTGCTACTTCCTGGAATTGGTGCACCTTTGTATTTTCCCCCTGAGTATGACTTCCAAGGCATTCATGTAGACACCACTGCAAATATGTTGATCAAACGAGGATCCACACCTTAAAATAGTTTTCCTACAACACAACATAAAGCAAACCAGTATTTAGACCAACAATTTCAGCTGTTTTCACTTTTCAAAAAAAACACTTTTAGTGAATTCTAAAGTTTCTAAAGCCAGATCACGCATCAAATATCTCATGATTGAATTTTCCCAACAGAACTCCAGCTGCATGATGCCCAGTGATCTCTCCTTCAGTGAGGTAAGCTGGTGTTCACCTTCTGGTCTTTTTCTCTCTTTTTACACAATAAGAGAAACTTTCATCTCAGTTTTCTTCCTCCTGTTGCTCAGAGTGACTGTCGGAGGAACATAATGAAGGACTTGGCCTACTACGGCGCTGCTATCCACTCCTACCTCCAGTCTCCGCTCCACATGCCTGAGAAAGAGGCTCCACCTTTGAACTCAATCCTGAGAGTCATCCAGACGCTGAGGACGGTGAGAGGAATAAGGGTTTTTGGATTTCTGAGAAGATGTAGTAAGAAGGAAACAAGTCGTGTTTTGGAGAATCTCCTGGGAAATAACATGTGGATGTTTCTCGGTTTGCACAGAGCTGCTCCTCTACAGCGAACAGAGGGACGGATTCCTCTGAGGTATTTTTCTCTGCTCCTCTTCTTGTTTTGGTTCCCCTTTTGCATCTCTTCTTGTGGTCACTGACATTAAAACTGATTTGTTTTGAAGGAAGTTTCGGCGTGAAACCGACGACTCATTCTGTCACTGGCTGTGCGTTTCAGGTGGAAGCTTCCGGTTTGTGGCAAGGCGACTCCTTCACAAACCGACAGAAGATGTGCAAGATGATGAGGGGCTTCCATGTCCGCACCATCACCATCAACAGAGCCATGGGCTACATCTCCTCTGGAGACCACAGGAAGTAAAACACCCCGAAGCTTCATCTACACCACCAGACAACTTCTTCGACCCTTCACTACCATCACAACTTCTGAACGAGCTGCGAATCGGTCTGCTAAGCTGAAGCCTTCGCTTTTAGACCAGGTCTAGCTAAAGATGGCGGTCTGTAGGCCATGTTGGCCAGGTGTATGAATGTATTCCTAAGTTTGAAGAAATGTTTCTTATCTATTTATTTATTTATCCATCTATTTATTTATTTATTCGCTGATGTATTTATGTAATGTTATTTATTATGATAAATTATTTGTGGCATCAAAAGGTGAAGTTAAATCTTTTATTATTAAAATGTAACAGAAGATCCTTTTCCCAACTGAACAAGAAAACATCTTTACTTTATGCGGGTCTTTCTGAATTTTCCAAAGGATTTTCCTCTCGTTTTAAATTTAGCACCTGATGTTTGGTGTTGAGCCACAAAACTGACTTTCGAGATGAACAAGTTTCTACAAACAGCTTAAAGGTGTGGGACACCCGTTTAAAGTCCCATCAGTTGTCACACACACAGGTGTGTGTGCGAAATTTGTTCTCCGCATTTGACCCATCCCCTGGGGGAGCGGTGAGCTGCAGACACAGCCGCGCTCGGGAACCATTTGGTGGTTTAACCCCCCAATCCAACCCCTTAATGCTGAGTGTCAAGCAGGGAGGCATTGGGTCCCAATTTTTCAAAGTCTTTAGTATGACCCGATCAGGTATTGAACCCTGATCTCCCAGTCTCAGGGCGGACACTCTACCACTAGGCCACTGAGCTGGTTTAATCAATACATTTGCATTGGTTTCCAGTATGAATGAATGTCTTGGAAGGCGTACTCAGAGGGAAGAAAAGCTCAGATGCAGGATGCTACATCAGAGGAGAGCTTAAAGGTTGGTTTATGCTTGACGCGTCCACGAGGTCCGCACGGCTCCGCGAGGCAAAATTGCGTCATTTTAACAACCACGCCCCTCCACCGCACCTCCGCATGGCCCAAAATTTCCGCACCGCGCACCCAGGAAATTTTCTAACCACGCGGACGGTCGGACGCGGAAAAACATGGCGGACTGGCAAGAACTAGTGTGGCAGAGGTTCGTAAATACAGACATTTGTATGATTCAGCTCTCAGAGATCACCGTATCAACATGTTGTTAATAATTCTTGGAGAGAAATAGCTCGCACTGTCGGAAAAGACGAGGACGCTGTTAAAAAATGCTGGAATGCCGTGTTGTAAACAGTAATTTCTACTTCTACTATGGTGTAGTGTTGGATGCATGCCGTAGAGCTCCATGCTGCCCCCTACAGTTTGGGAAAATATTGGCTCACCGCAGAGACAAGCCGCATGAACCATAAACGCTGCGAGTTGAGAAGCGCGTTCCATCCGCGAGCCGCATCACCAAGCGGAAAGTGAATGTATCAAGCATAAACCAAGCTTAACATGGCAGGATTTGAGTCTCATTTCCTGATATTTGGATATCTCGCCTGTGATTGGGTAACAGCAACATGACTCTACCACTGACGGTTTGCTCTGCAACGTTGTTTTATTTCCACAAATAACACAAGCCTGGAGGAGTTCTGCTGTGTTGTGGAGTTGCTAATGCTAACAGTTAGCTGAGACATTCTCTGCTGTTTCCTGGACGCTAAACCAACAACACCCTTTCCCGTCGTGAGTCAAGATGGGTGAGTCCATGAATGTTAACTCATTCACTGCCAGCCGTTTCCTGATCAGAAAAGTCCTTCGCTTCCAGCGTTTTGCAGCATTTTCAGTTTTTTTTTAGAAGTCACAGAACGTTGCGCTCTAGGATGTCAACACCAAAACAACCAAAACAAAGAGGAGACTCACCTCTTATATCAGGAAGAATCCGCGCGTTTCGAGCATTATTCGTTTTTTCATAATCCGTTGTCGAATTGTGATCGGCAGAAGGTTTTCCGGTTCGCGCCTCACTTTTTTTACAGCAGGGGCCCAAAACGATCTCCTAACACGTGGATTTTCTGCTTCCTGATCACGTATGTGGATGAAGATCGGCTTTAGAGCTGAGATGTTTGTTCTCACGGTGCGGGGGCTCGTTCCGACGCCCACACAGTAAAAAAATACTTTAGTCGTCATTGGCAGTGAATGAGTTAAGTGACAGGGTGACGTAGATCTGTCAGGCTTTTCTAATCCTTTCATCGCCTGTTTTCTATCAGACGCTAATGCAGGAGATGAGTGTGGGAGACTATTTTCATGTTCAGCCGGCATGAAACACTCACAGGGACCCATTTTACTCAGAAATAATTAATCATTTTTTTCTGTGTTCCACACCTTTAATGTTTAACTCGCACTTTATTTATTCTGGCACAAAGACAAAATCCGTTCCCATCTTTTTTTTGTTGAGCCTGTGGAGAAAAAAACAAAATAATCTGACATTAAACAGAAATTTAGCTCTAATAAGGAGATTATTAGTAGTCTGCATGTCCCGTTTTTAATTCTCTAGGATTTTGTTTATTGACTTGAATTTCTAACACTTCCCATCTGATGCCCTTCACTCGTCCATTCTTTTATTTTCTCGTCAACTAAAATTTAAAACTATGCTGCCATGTCCACATTGCAGGACTGGACTGAAAATAAATCGAAAAATCTGTTTTATCCATTTCCTTTTCGCCTAAAAAGGGGAGCTTGTTTTTTCCTTTGTATTTTCTAGCAAAGGACAGCAGTAGCTCAGGAGGTAGAGCGGGTTGCCCAGCAACAGGGAGGTTGTAGGTTAAATCCTAGTGCCTGCCAGAGAATTCAGCTGTTGTGTCCTTGGGCAAGACGCAACTTGCCTGCGTTCAGGGCAGCTGTGGCTTTGCTGTAGCTCATGAATGTGTCTGTGAATGGGTGAATGTGTTGTGAAGGACCTTGGGGGGGTTGCAGAACCCTAAGAAGGCGCTATACAGATAGAGGCCATTTACCATTAACTGAGAAAGAGAAAGGGCAAATAAAAATGTAGAAAATAAATATTACCAATATGGCAAATTAAATATTAATGTTAAATAAATGGTAATTATGTTTAATTTTATTTTGAAACATCCATATTTTTAAGAATTGGGTTTTTTTCCAAGCATGCTTTACCCAAATAAATGTGTATTTTAATCTGTATTGTTTTGGCAGATGCTTTCCTTCAAACGAGTTACAATTATGAATGTAGGATGCAGAAAAAGAGTGTAACATGCATGTTTTTGGTCTCTGAGGGGGAGCCAGAGCACCCAGAGAAAAATATGAACATGCACGCAGAAAACAAATCCACACAGGAAGGCCACAGCTGTGTTTTAAACCTGTAACCTTACCGATGAAGGCAACGGTGCCCCCCGCTGCACCATCATGCAGACAAAGGGACGAGGATTTACCTGGTTTACCTTTCAACGTTGATTCAAACTCTTCGATTCTTAGGAGGAATTTAACAAATGCTTTTCTGCATAAAGGATCATAAAACACAGAATTGCATGTAACAAGTATGTCATCTTAAAGTTTTTCTTTAATAGTGTTGGCATGTCCGAGAACACAGTTTCAAGTCTTGTAACTGAAAACGTTTCAGAGTTTACAGTAAAGTTTGGTCCTCTAACGTCTGTGGTTCCAAATGTGTGAAAAAGCTCCGGCTTCAAAAAACATACAAATCTTTTCCAAAAGATTCTAGCTGCAGTGTCTGAAAAACACAAACAAGAGTTGTTCTTTCCCGCAAAATGCATTCATTCCAAATAAATGACAGAAACTAGATGTTGGATCTTTTCCAAGTCGTAAAATAAAACACAAACAGACTCAAAACTTAAAAAAATAAACTAAAGGTTTTTTAAAATACATATTTATATACATAAATATCTACAAAAGACAAAAAATTTCGTAGTTCAGTCCATAATTCGGTTCTACTGCCTAATTATTTTCAGACAAAAATAACACATTTCATTCAAAGTAAAACGATGAATTATTCCTGAAGGACCCGTGTTTAGTTTAACTACACACTCTTCTGCACTCACTACAGAAACAAAAAGGACCTCATTTAAATAACATCAGGAGTGAAATGAAGAAACAAAACAACTTAAATGTTTCACGTCGAGGGATTAAAAAAGAGAAGCGCTGAGGCGGCCCCAGGTCGACGCAGCTTCGCTGCGCTCCTGAGGTCTTTGTTGGCTCCATTTGATGGATCAGCAGATATTCAACAGCTTGTTGGATCTATAAAGCTTTTACTTCACCGATCGATTGTCCCTCATATCTGGAAACAGAAACAAAATAAGAATAGAATCATTTAGCAGAGACGCTGAATGCTGCAGCTGCTCAAAAGCTGCAAGACGTTCCTTTAAACTTGGAAAACAAATCAGCTTAAAACTTTTTTCATGCCTCTTAACTTTCTAACACAGCAAAGCTATAAATATATTGTGAAGGTTAAAAATAAAACAAAAAAAGAAGAAAAAAAGAAAAGATAATAAATAGATAAATAAATAAATAAAAGAAAAAAGAAGAAAAATAATAATAAATAAATAAATACAAGAAAAAAGAAGTAAATAATTAATAATAAATAAATAAAACAAAAAAGAAAAAAGAAGAAATAAATTAATACATTAATTAATTAATTTATAAATAAATAAAACAAAAAAGAAAAAGAAAAAATAAATGATAAATAATTACATAATTAAATAAATAAATAAAACAAATAAAGAAAAAAAGAAGAAAAAATTAATAATAAATAAATTAAAGAAGAAAAATATAATAAATACATAAAGAAAAAAGAAGAACTAAATTAATAATTAATTACTTATTTAATTAATTAATAATAAATTAAACAAAACAAAAAAGAAAAAGAAGAACTAAATTAATCATAAATACATAAACAAACAAATAAATAAATAAAAGAAAAAAGAAAAAAAGAAAATTTTCATAATAAATACATAAATTAATAAAAAGCTATTTCAGTGGTTTTCTCACATTGGTCTCAAAACCTTCAATAACACCAAAAGTAACCACGGGACCACCGTCCCCGGGTCCTCCATTCATCACACACTCGTGTATTTTCCAACAAGACACCACTGGTGTTTGAGCTTCTCCGCTTAATAATATCAGAGAAGAAAACAAACTACCAGAGTCCCTAAAAGAAAAACAACATTTGAAGTCACGGACAACGGCGACCGGTGTTTAGCACCATCTCGTTATGTCCAGCATCACGGGTTTCCGTTTCCAGCAGAGGCGTCTCAGGGGAGATACCAGCTTTATTCGCCTTGCCTCTGGAACAAGGAGCGTAAATGAACGTGGTCTTAAGAAGGTGGTGGTGTCCCACTTTTACAGTCAGAATCACGTTAGCTCAATCGTATGATAAGAAACACAAAACATTCAGCTTCATTGCAGATGGTCAGCAGAACAGAGGAAGAAAGTACTTTAGATTTTCACATCCAGCAACCATTAGATCCAGTAGATTTTACATCCACTTCGACGGCATGCTGAAAACATTCCTCCCCGTCTTGTGGAGAAGATCTCTGTCTGATGACTAACACACCTGTGGCTAAAGTTAGAAAATTCTGAGGCAGACACTGCGGTAACAGCTCTGACTCGTGGTTGGGCAATAAAACAGCTTACTGCTGGATTATGTTTGTTGTGATGTGTAATCTGCATCTTTATTTACGATGGTTAACGTGACAGCAGAGTCTAAAACAAACTGCTCCGAGGAGGGAAACAACTTATTGTATTGTGATTTGCTGTCCGTTGTACCGGTGTGTCACCACGGCACACCGGTACAACGCCCGAATCACTGCAGACGCAGCACCAATCCGCCTATCGATCTCACGCTCCAGCTTTCCCTCACTCGTGGCAGGACCTCGTCCCTGACCCGGAGAAGGCATTCTACCCTTTTCCATCTCAAGACCACGGTCACGGATCTAGGGGAGCTGATTCTCACTCGGCTGCGAAGCGCTCCAGTGAGAGCCGGAGTTCTGATGAAGCCAACGGGACCACATCGTCTGCAAAAAGCAGAGACACGATCCTCAGGCCACCAAAATGGATCCCCTCAACACAACGGTGGGGCGACAGTGACACAAGAGTTAAGTGCTCGCCCCGTATTCTGAAGGTCGCAGGTTCGAGTCCCACTCAGTCCATCACTGTCATTGTGTCCTTGGGCAAGACACTTAACCCACCTTGCCTGCTGGTGTTGGTCGGAGGGACTGGTGGCGCCAGCGCTCGGTGGCCTCACTTCTGTCAGGGCAGCTGTGGCTACATCGTAGCTCATCACCACCAGTGTGTGTGAGTGGGTGAATGACTGAGTGTGTTGTAAAGCGCCTTGGGGGGTTCCAGGATTCTTGAAGGTGCAATATCAAAACAGGCCATTTACCATTTTACCATTTAACACCTTGGCTGTGCCCAGAAATCCTGTCCATAAGAGTTATGAACAGAATCGGTGACAAAGGGCAGCCTCGGCCAGATAAATTAGATTTCTATTGATAAATTTATGTGATTTTGTTGTTCGCACTTTCTACTACGTGAAGAACAAAGTATTGTAGCGTCATGAATATCGTGTTTTTGACCTAAAGGGCATGATCTGCTGCATCTGCGCGAGCAGAGACATAAAGTCTCTGACAGGCTAATCTACATGAGATAGTGGCCAAGGTCTTTCATGCACTCTGCTCATCTGAACTGCTTCACCTCTGTTACAGCTCAAGACGAAGATGAAGAACTCTTTTGATAAACACATAAACAACAACTTTGTTATTACCAGTAATAATATGAGCCCAATGTTCAATCAATCTGTGAAATGACAATGTTATTACTTGAGATTATAATCCTGTGATCAGTAGTACTTTACAAGTAATTATAATCTTGGACATTTGCACTAGACACTAATGACACGTAATGCTAAAGTCACATGACACATTTCCTTTTGTCTGGTCCAATCAGAACCTTCGTTTCTGGCTAGGCGGGGTTTTCTGTGGTGTTTGTATAAACCCTCTGTTGCATGTCAAATTCTGATTCGCCAGTAAACCAAAATATGACAATTGTAAAAACCGTCCCACGCCACCTTATCTTTGGTTCTAGAGAAGTCTCGGACCGGCCATCCGGACTTCCTCTTCAGCCATAAAGAACCTCGACAAGCTGGATAAAATCTGTTGCAAGTTACACCTGACCGCAACGGTTCCTTCAGAATAAAAGCTGAACCTCACGACCCCTTCAGGGTCTCGGAGACGCCAGTGATAACCTGTCGTGACCTGGAAGCATTCCAAGACTAGTTTGGTCGGCACCGCTGCTTTTCTACCGGCTTCGGTTCCAAGGAGGGCCCACGAGGACCTCGCCATTCTGGATCTAACGGAGGCTTCCCCTGGGTACATAGACCGACAGATGGCGTCTCATGTGTGTTCTAAATCTACTAAAGTTTAGAGCGAAATATTCACTCCCACTCAGACCTAAATGCTTCTCCGGATCCGCTGGTTCTGATAACAGCATTCCACACACACACCATCAACATTCATCACGTCTCACTCCACCTTAGTCCATCAGTGCACAGAGTGTTAAAGTTAGTCTTGTTTAAATTGTGTAGAAATAAATTTCTTAACTATTTTAAACCTGATTCTCTCTCTTTCCTTGGAATTAATACGAAGTGTCGCTTAATCCCTGCAATAAAAAGTTCTGATCTTCTGGTTAAAATAGTCAAAGATCCATCAGATTGATATTTCATATTTCTATGGAATCTCACATTTTATGGTTCATAAGTAAGATGTAAACGACTCATCCTTTACAGTATTTAATAAGAATATTTAACTCATTCAGATCTAGTGTTCCCTTTATTTCTGAGCAGTGCTGATTGCACCGTAGTAACATGCTCGGTGTCTTTTACCTTTCAGAATCTGATAAACCTCGTTCGGTAGGTCCTCCAGGTCCTCTAAGCTCTCCAGCAGGTGGCTCGCCGTAGCTTCTCCCTGCCCTCTTCGGCTCTTCCACTCCACCAGCATCTTCAGCTTCTGCATGTTCAGGTCTTTCTCTGCTGCCTGAATGTCGTCCAGCTCCCGGGATTTCAACCCAAGGTAGATGGCTACCTGCTTCCACTCCGAGCCAAGCTGCCTGGCCACTTTTAGGAGCTGCTTCTCCGTCATGTCCTCTCCCTGAGCCAACGCTGCTTTCACTCCATCTGGAGAAAATAAGAAGTTTCATTCTGTTAATATAGAAAGAGTCTGATAGCTGAAAGCAGTTTTCTTCTGAACTCTGTGGATAAAGGAGGACACCTGACTCATCCTGCCATCGAGGTCTTTTACAGGTTGTTTCCTCCTCTGAGGGGCTGCTGCTCCTCTGTCTGCCTGCTGCACAAAGAAGATCAATAAGCAACCCAGGCTCAGAACTAATTTGATTCTGACTGAAGCGAGGAGACTTACAGATTGTTCTTTTCCTTGGCTTCTTCTCTGTGTGATCCACACAGTCGCCTGAAAGAAAAAAACATCAAAACATATCAATGCCATCCCACGGCTCACCTTTCCATCTCACACACGTGTTCTTCTTTCGTCCGTCTTTTGCGAACATTTGGCAAATCTATTTTTATGTGATGTCAAAGATACACTTGTGTGCTTGTGTGTGTGTGTGTGTGTGTGTGTGTGTGTGTGTGTGTGTGTGTGTGTGTGTGTGTGTGTGTGTGTGCGTGTGTGTGTGTGCTCTGTCTTCTCGATCCCCAGTGAGTCGTGGTGGATGGCTGCTTACACTGAGCCAGGATTCTCTGGAGGTTTCTTCCTGTTAAAAGGGAGTTTTCCTCTCCACTGTCGCTAAATGCTTGCTTAGTATGACTTGATGCAATTTGCTGGGTTCCTTATATAGGAAACTTTTTTCTGATTGGCTTAATGAACTGACCTGTATTGGAATGTTTATTATGTGAAGTGCCTTGAGACGACTCTTGACGTGATTTGCCTCTTTATAAATAAACTTGAATTGACTCAACACTTAAAACATGTCGTGTCTCCCACATGTGGTCTTCCTGATGATTATATCCACTATTCTGCTGAGCAGCTGGAGCCTTCACCTCTTTAATGGTTAGGCGTCTTCTTCTAATGAATAGGAAATCTACCAATCCCCTCTACCACACATTGGATTAATGAAGTAATGTCATTTCTGAAACTTGCCCAGACAGATTTAGCAAGAAATGGCAACCCTTTTTAGACTTTTCCAAATCTCTTCAATACCCCTCCCATCCTTTTCCTTTTTGTGTGCGTGTGTGTGTGTGTGTGTGCGTGTGTGTGTGTTGTCTGCTGTCTTTTATGTGTTAAACTATGAAAAAAAGGAAGGGAATGAAGATAAGTACAAGAATCTTTGGTTTACTGTGCCAATTGATGCACATTGTCTTCTAATAAACATGTTAAATCTGCAAAAACAAAAAACACCAATAATTCTCTAAGTTTTACCTGATAGGAACAAAAAAATCCCTAGAAAGGTCAGTGGGAAAAACCCAGAGATACGTTTCAAACTACAGGATTCCCAAAGGGAAAAACAACGCTACGGATGTAAAACAAAAAATAAGGGTTATGTATAGTTTTTGTATGTTGCTCCCCAGATTTCTACACAATAAGTCAAGTATGGAACAATCAGTGAATCGTACAATGCCAACAAACCGGAATTAGACAGTAAAAACTTGACTATGGAATACTCCTAAGGATTTGGCAATTTTACCTTTTCTGTAACTAATGTGGGATTTCCATGTCAAGTCTTCATCAATAAGAACTGCAAGAAATTTAGTTTCTTTTACTCTTTGAATTGCAATACCATCTATTTCCAATGACACATCACTGTTCTTTTTGTCATTAAACAGAATAAAATTTGTTTTATTAAGATTCAGTGTCAATCTATTTATATCAAACCAGTTTTTAATTTTAATCAGTTCATCATTTATCACTTTAGCCACCTCCTCAATATTTGATCCTGAGTAAAACAGTGTTGTATCATCTGCAAATAGAATGGTGCCGAGTGTCTTAGATACATTTCTTCAAAACTTCTTTCTGTTGTACACAGCTCTTTGACTGACCTCTGTTTGAAGGACTATAGACTACACTAAGTTCTGGCCGGATTGACAAGCTAACGGCTAGTCACAACAGGCCCCATTTCAAGGTAGGTTTCATTTCTCCAAAATGAGACAGTTCAAAGAGCAATCCACAACAGAATATAATAAGCGTTCATAACTTTCCCACCGAAGTCCATTTCAGATGATCTTAACTCATTCGCTGCCAGCGTTTCTCACTGTTTTTACTTATTTTTTAAGAGTCACAGAACGTTGCGTGCTAGGATGATGTCGACGCCAAAACAACCAAAAAGAAGCGGAGACTCACCTCTTACATCAGGAAGAATCCGCGCGTTTCGAGCTTTATCCGTTCTTTCATAATCCGTTGTTGAATTGTGATTGGCAGAAGCTTTTCCGCTTCGCACCTAAATTTTTTTACAGCAGCGGCCCAAAACGATCTCCGAACACATGTATGTTCTGCTTCCTGATCATGTGACGTGTGACGTATGCGGATGAAGATCGGCTTCAGAGCTGAGATGTTTGTTCTCTCGGCGCGGGGGCTCGTTTCGACGCCCACACAGTAAAAAAATGCAAATGACGACTTTAGTCGTCATTGGCAGTGAATGAGTTAAAATAGTAAACAGACCCAGGATAAATTATTTTTACTAAGTTGAACGGGTCGTAAAAATATTCAATCGTACAGCATCTAATGGGAAACTTTAAGAATCAACAGGAGTCGACACCTGAATAAAATTATCTGTGGTGAAAGGTTATTGTCTCACTGTGTTGGGGGGCGGGACTTAAAATCTATATTGCAGCCAGCCACAAGGTGGAGCTAAATTTGTTTTGGCTTCAATTTAAATGCTATGCTTGGTGTCCATTTTACATGCAATTGAAAGCAAATAAGCAATTTTTTTGCAGTTCTGTTTGCTTTCTGTTTTTCTTCTAAATAATTGTAATAATGAAGAATAACTTAAAGGTGTGGTTAACTTGTTTATTCAACTCATTTGCTGTGTTCTCTTGTGTAAATCAATGCCTTATGAGTCATTTAATGATGCTCCTGTTCTGAGATGTAGAGATTTACTGGTGCAGAGATGGGCTAAAAACAGCAGGTTTGCTCATTATTATTAATGATATGCACACAGCTTGCTTCTGATTGGCTAACAGAACGTGTTCAGACATGTTGCAAAGTCACTATCACCAACATGGTGTCTTCTCTCTTGCTTCGCTGCCAAAAAAATTTCAAAAAGCCTTCCCGTGGGCGGACGCGAGCCAGGATGGGCGAGGCCGTGAATGCAAATTAACAGTGTGACATAGATGTGAGAGGATTTTCAAATCCTTGCATTTCATTACCATTTTCTATCAGAATTATTAAAAACTAGAATTAAAAATGTCTTTTCAGTCAACCACACCTTTAAAGCCTGTGTGCTTTTTTTGTTTGAATGGATCTGCGTTGTAGCCTCAGCGGTCTAAACATGCTAGTACCGTCTCTGATGGTGGCGGTCCAAACCGTCTCCTCGGAGTTGATCTCTATTAGAGATAATTTAAACGGTGGCGGCTGCTCAAAGAAAGCTTCAAAGTAGCCTTTCATCTTGGTCACTGCCAGGGTGAATTTCAAGTCCTGCATTGAGACAAACATAAATAATGATGGCGCTAATTTTTTCACTAATGCACCTTCAAGTTTCAACATGATTTCTTATTTTATTTTATCCACGCTGATGCAAAGAGACACACCTGAGGTCTGATCTCTCCCTCTGGCTCGCTCAGGAGACGATACGTCCCCTCGTCCAGTTTGCACGTTGGAGGCTTGTCGATCTTCATGTAACTTTTCTTGCAGCTCCGAACTTGTTTGCCTATATCCTGATTTACAGCAACACAGATGAGGGAAGCAGGTCAGTGTCTCGGCGACAGCAGCAATGACACAAATGAATCATCACACTGAAGGTGTCAGTGAGTAAAACGGTAACGGCCGAACACAAAAACATCATGGGATGGGAACTCACGTCACACTGAAACTCGAATTATTACAGAAACTGGTAAAAAAAAAATAAATAACATGCTGGATCCTCCCAAACACATCCGCTCATGCAACCACAATCACACTTCCTGGATGATTAGTGTGGTGCACTCTGCCTTTACTCAGAAATGAATCAGGTGGTTTGGAACGTCGCCCACGTTACTGCTCAGCGGCACTCAAGTAGGACGTTTACGGTGATCGCTGCCCCACGTGGGCCTAGAAACCTGATGTGTGAATCAGGCCAGCGACGGTTTAAAAGTGTGCAAAAGTGAAAGTAAATTTCATCTTTTGTTTCTGTTTTTATGTTTACATGCGTGATTTTAAAGGTGAGGCATTTTGATGGAGTTTTATTCAGTAAACCAGTGGATTAAATTCTTATGTGTGGAATATTCCTCTGTGCTGCTGCTGCAAGGACGGCATTTTTCCTGCTCCTGTTTCAGTTTTCATTCAGCGAGAAAAACGTAAAGGAGAGTTTAGTAGTCGTCCACGGAAATATTTGATGCCAAACTAGGACTAGAAATTATTGAGTTGAGAAACTGAAAAACAAGCTAGCTTAAAACATTTTATTCATGCCAACTTTGTAACATAATATGTATGTATGTAAAAAATGAATAAAACAGTTTTCTCATATTTGTCTAAAAACCTCCAACAATCACACACCTCAGACCAAAACCAACAACTGGACCATCAAGTTGTCGGTCCCACTCAACCACCGCACATCAGCACTTCCCTGGGTCCTCCACTATATATATATATATATATATATATATATATATATATATATATATATATATCATCACGTATTTAGCAACAGAACACCACTGGCGTGAGAGCTTCTCCGCTCAATAATATCAGAGAAGGAGAAACAGCTGGCTGCTACCAGCTAGAGTCCCAAAAAGAAAAACACCATTTGAAGTCACACACAACAAAAGATGTTTGGGCCTAGAAAACGGCGACTGGGGTGTCGCACTCGTTTCCTCTGGTAATGCGTGTTCCCAACAACGGGGGCGTGGCCCAGGGATGATACCCTAACCCCCAAATTCCACTACCTCCGCTCCGCTCCGGTCCGCCCCCGCCTTCCGCAGCCGCTCGCTTCCGAACTCAATTTTTACTGGTACCCGCTCTACAACGGCTCCGCTCCGGTGCGGAGACCTGAGGGGGACAAACAAGCATGCGCGGGATTTTCGAGATCTTGCGATACAGTCCGAGCAATAAACGCGGAAGTTAGATCCAAACACCCGTTGTGTGGGAGAAGCATCGGCATGAACTGTTTAATCTGCCCATGATTTGTGTTGAGAGATCAGCAGTGTTTGGATCAACAAAGTGTGACTACTTTGATAGTAGAAACTGTATTTATGGCTTACTTTTGTGCATTTAAACTTCAGCCGCCATTGATAAATGTTAAAAGTTGTTAAACCTGTGCATATGAAACAAAAAACGCTTTTTGTTTATCAATTTATTGTGAAAAACGGAAGTTGTGCTTGCTCCTTTTCCTGTTGGGCGGTGGTGATTTCTGTCCATTTACTGTGGAGGTGCTCCGGCGTCCGGCGAAAATAGGATCGATTCTATTTTTGCCGGACGCCGGAACAGAGGGCGGCGCACGGCGCCGCACTGCCGGAGCATGGCCGCAGTAGTGGAATTGCTCTGATTGACTACAACGGGACTGATTTTGCTCCGGCGTTCGTGTCGGAGCGGAGCGGAGGTAGTGGAATTTGGGGGTAAGAAAGGGATAAGAGTTCTGCGACCATGTTGTGTTTAAAGGTGTAGCACACTCATTTAATCAACACATTTCCTGTGGTCTCCAGTAGGAATGGATGGTTGGAAAGCTGTACGCTTCATGGGGAAAAAACACCAGTGCATGAACTAGAAGTCTGGAGCATCACTGCTGGGCTTCAGACGACAGGATTTGGACTCGTATTTTCTGATATTTGGACATCTCGCCTCAGATTGGATAACAGCAACGTAACTACCACTGGCTCCAACTTTGATGTTTGATCTCTACAAATAACACAGGCCTGGTGGAGTTCTGCTGTTTTTAGTCGCTAATGCTAATGATTAGCTTCTACTTATCGAGATTTTCTCTGCGGTTTCCCGGACGCTAAACCAACAACAGCCTTCCCCATTGTGAGTCAAGATGGGTGAGTCCATGATTGTTAGGTGACAGTGTGACGTAGATCTGTCAGGCTTTTCTAATCCTAGAGTTTCATCGTCTGTTTTCTATCAGAAGCTAATGCAGGAGATAGGTGTAGGAGACTATTTTCATGTTCAGCCTGCATGAAACACTCAGAGTGACTGATTATAATCAGAAATAAATATGTGTTTTCCGTGTTCCACACCTTTAAAAGCTAGCTTGTTTTACACCATTTTTATTGAGTGGAGAAACTATCCAGAGTTCACATCTTAAGAAGACTGCAGGTTCTATTTCACATCAGAGGGTGTTGAATGGGGACTAAAATAAAAAGCGTGGGCAAGTTTAGGCTACATGCAATATCAAATAAATAGTTTAGAAACATTTGTTTAGTTTGGATTACATGTAAAAAAAACAACTAATTCAACTATTAACTTAGACAGTGCTGCTATAAAAGCAGAGAAGAGCTACTGGATGTCCAGAAAGGAAACGAGCACATGAAAAAAAAATTAAATGTGGCTGAATTCAGCTTCAGAGAGCATGTGGAAGTCTTACTTCTTTATCTTTACTTTTTAAAAGAAACTCGTGAAAACACACGAGGGTAAAATTGACTACACGAGAGCGTGCATGTAGAGCAATCGTGGGAAAATTATTTAAATAATAATCTATTTTAGAAGGATGGAAGCTGAGCTGAAATCACAAGTTAAGATACAGATTTGGTTAACTGCACAGTCCTATATTCAGTTGAAAAATACAGTTTTCATGAGCAGCAAACTAGTAAAAACCCACAATTTACAACTCGGAAAAGCTTAAGACAAAACTCACTGCTAATTTTGCACAAACAGGTGCTGAAATTTCTGCACAGGTCAATAACGGATCAAAGCAGCTTCCACTAATCAGGTGTTGCAGGTATGAACAAAAAAAAAAAACAAGATCCTGAAACTAAAAACTGTTTGGAAAAACCTGACCTCGTTTTCCACCAGTTTTGTTTCTAGGCTGCAAGTGAAAACCGCCGGCGGTGCAAACTTCCATGAAACTCGTCCAGTTTTTGGATTTGAGGCGAGTTTCTGACAACGAGGAGGGTGTGGGTTTGACCACCTCTCACCTTGATGTCCGACGCACTGTTGGTGGCCATGTAGATGTGGAAGCTGTAGTTGTTTGGGTCGGTGCTCAGCTGCTTGTAGACCAGAACCACCCCGTGGTGCTCCACAGCGTGGGTGGTCTGGATGATGGGACCCACAGGTGACAGGGAGGTCACGTTCCACTTAACATGGCTCCCCGAGTGGTCCGATGTCGGCTCAATGAGTGGACGGTTGTCCTTGATGTGCAGGACGCCAAACGTCATGTCATCTTCATCTGGATCTTTGTGAAAATGGAGGACAAAGTTTTACAACCACCATAAATATGTTTGCTTTTGTTTTATTTCAGATCTCTGAGGTTCTTACGAGCTAGGCAGATGGAGTGGGGGAACTGGATGGACTTGAGGGAAGACGGGTCCTTGTTGACTGTTTCTACGTTGAAGATGGGTCCGGCACATTTCCACGAGTTGTGCAGAAACGCGCCAAACTTGGACCAAGATAAAATCGAGTATCGAACGAGAACCCGCTCGCTCGCTTCGAAGACCAGGCCAGTGACGGAGCACTCGAAGGTTCCCTCTCCTTCCAGCTGTATCCTAACACACACACACACACACACACACACACACTGAGTGATGCTGCACATTCTTTCAGACCTGCAGAACCACAAAACCTCTCTTACTGGAATCGTCCCTTTGACATCCTACGGGGGGTGACGAGCTCGCTGCCATGAGTCTGCAGAAACACACGCAGCTCATTTCTACACTCAAACATCTCCAGAAATCAAAACTGACGCGTAAACGAGGAAGGGATTAGGCCGAACCTAAAATATGCAGCGAAAGGACAGAAAATGCGTTTTCCGATCTCACCTGCTGCACAGCTTTGCATTTGTTACAGCACACCTTGAACCTGTCGTCTGTGAGGATCAAATATGAATAAAATATTAACAAACCAGGAGGCTGCAGGGTAAAAAGTCAGCTGGGATCTGCTCACCTCTTCCATTTAAAGCTGCTGGTTCCGGTTTGGCGTCTGATCCTGGAGGGAAAATAAAAGTCACAGAACACCGATTCTTTTGTTGTTTTTGGTGATTAAACGCTATTTTGGCGAGTGCAGCTGTCTGACTGTAACAAGAATCTGTCTTACTGCTTTTAGATTCTTCGGCGTTGGCCTCTTTATGGTCTGGGGAAAAAAAGAGATGAGAAATGTTAATGAATCCAGAAACGATGGAACATTGTGAGGCTTTGAGCTAGGGCTGCACAATATATCGTAAATATATCGTTATCGCAATATCAGCATGCACAATATGCATATCGCAAAGAACAGATAAATATCGCAATGATTAGGGCTGCACGATATTAGGAAAACCTGCGATATTCGATAACAGTGCTTAATATTGCGATATCGATATTACTCGCGATAAATGAACAAATACTAAAGTATACAGTGTTGATGTCGTCTGGCGTGTGACGTCTGCTCTGGGTTCAAAGCAAACAAAAACTAATGCATGAATTCCATTACAACATAACATTTTTATTGCAAAAATATGCAGCTGCACCTGCTACTGTATTAGCAGCAAAACAACAAACTGCATGCATGCAGTTTCTCAGTGACTTTAAAACATCACCTCCACCATAAAACTTTTTCTGATGCTCCAAATACAGAAAAACATCCCTTACCAGGGTTTTTTGAGTAAATAAATACAAATCAGAAAATATGTTTAAATGTTAAATAATAGTTAACATCACTTACATGCAACAGCAAATTCTCTCATTGCTACTGAACATTTTCTCCACTTATGTGGTTATGATATAAGGCTGTTGCTGTAATTGGGAAGTGAACTGTGCTGGGCCAAACTAGGAGAATATTAAGATTTTCTGAGGGAAAGAGAAAAACAATTGTCTACCTTTCATAAGAGGAACTGGCAAAAAAACTACATGGAAAATATGTGAAAACATTTGTTTTTAACCCCAAATTGAACAAGTTTACCTAGATCTTAAAAAGCAGCTCAGATGATGAAACTGCAACTATGATTCTGATAACAAGCTAACAAATTGAACTAGCTCCTCTTAAGATAACCGGCTAGCAGAGCTTCTGACTGACAGTTTATGTGCAGCAGCAAATCAACTATCCTGATTAACAAGGTTATAAAAGCTCATAAATGAAAAATCACTTTGATGTGTGGGGGAACTTTTCCAGGCCCTCTTTAGCAGGGTGGGACTGGGAGGAGAGTGCTGTAGCCTTTTAGCTGGAAGCTAACCGGAGCCTGGGGCTAACACTAGTGGCATGAAGGTGGGTTGGTTCACCGGCAAGTGTCGGAGTCAGCCCGGTTATTATCAGCTGCTTAACGACACCGAGCGGACTCACGTTCACGTTTGAAAGTAGCGCTGATTCCAGAAACCTCAGCACAAAGTGCGTTCGTTGCTCTGATCCAGCATAACGAACAAGGGAACGGCACCGCAAACTCTGTTCGGGTGTTGCTTTCCAAAAGGGTCTATGTAGGGGGCGGGCGTATTACATGAACGGACCATCTAATTGGCCGCATATCAGAACGGATACATTTGATTGGTCAAATAATACTTCCGCGTAAAAAACAGAGCTGGTTTACAAAAAGTTGATGTATGACACGGATGGAAATGTTTGAACCAAACATTTATCGCTGTTTTGCCGTGTTTTGCGATGGGCCTATCGCACGTCCTGTTATCGCGATGACAATAATTTTTCGATATATTGTGCAGCCCTAGCAATGACGCATAATGCATTCTGTCAATCAAATGAAAGCATGATGTTTTTTAACTAATCAAATGAGCTCTTCACCCATTTGGCCAATCGGGTGGGTTCTCATAGGTTAGATGCCCGCCCAAACACCCGAGTTAGCTTCGTTAGCTCTTTCTGCTGATTCTGCTTTTCCCGGGATCCACTGATTACCTTTTCTTGTTCATTTTCTTTTTCCCGTTCCTCACATCTTTAGCTTTTCTCTTTTTAACGAATTTTTTATTTCTTTGTTTTTGATTATTTTTGTTCCTGAGTTAAGTTTTTATTTATCACAAGTAATATCGTCATCGCAATATTAATCATCGTTATCGAATATCGCAGGTTTTCCTAATATCGTGCAGCCCTACTTTGAGCATAATTTTTAACAAGGGATGCAAATCCTACCATCGTCTCCTGCGTCTCCATCAGCGCCGCCTTCTGGCGATGAAGCGTGATTAAAAAGGTGAAAAATCAAGAGCAACACATCGGTTTGAATTTTTTAATCCCAAAGTTTTTCACCTCAGAACAGCAGTTTATGTTTTCTTTCTCATTAATAGTCTGAGGAAATGTACTCCAGCAATTCTGCCCAGAGGGCTGCTGAAACATCAGCCAGAAGCTTGTCGGTGGATCCAGAAACGTCTCATTAAAGGTGCAACTTGCTGAGAGTCACATGACCAAACATTAGCGCAGGCATGAGCCTGTATAGAAGTCTCTCACCTGATTCCTCCTCGTTTTCCTCCTCTGAGCTGTCCTCGGTGGACGTTCCAGCGTTCTCTGCTCGACACACGGATACGTAAAACGTTTACGGACGGATGTGGTAAAAGATCCAGGTCAGAAGGGCAAAAGCTGAAATCTGAGGGGATATTTTTGCTCACCTGAACTGCTGCTGTCACCTTCTGACAAATTATCTGTAAATAAATGGAAACGAAATCAAAATCATCAGTTTGTTCTGCCAAAGGTGATGCAATGAAATCAAAATGTGCAAAAAATGTTAGAATGTGTCCTAATGTTTCCTACAGGTGATTATAACCACTAAAATTAAAAACGCTGAAAATGTAGGAGTTTGCTTTTTTATGTGTTTTTACTCATATTAAGATAATTGGGAGTAAGCCAACTAAAGCACAACTCTGCAGAAAAGAGAAACAGACAAGTGTGGCGCGAGTAAAGGCTCTTCTTTAATTAGTCACACCCCAAAGTCCATTTCAAGCAGCAAAGACCTCAACAACAGTTCAGGCTCAAGAGCAGGAAGTAGGTGCAGCCCCACTGAGGCCTTGTTTTAGTCCACTTTATTCTCTTTTTAAAGTTATTTATCTGCATTAGTCACCAAAAAGCCCGAAGCACAGCCAGGTTACTCCACCATCTTTTACGTTTGCATCCTTCACGGTGGCTAAACCATGAGCCTGCAGAAAAAGTGGAGCATTTGCATTCCGCCGTGGTTTTATTGATGGGTCCAGAGGAGCCGCTCCGGAGGCCGTGGATGGGCCGTCTGGACGAGCGCCTGCTCTCTTTAATGGATGGAGCCCATCTCGTTTCAGCCCACGGACTTTTATCTTAAACTAACAAGCAGATGCTGCCACCAGTGCTCCACTTGCTGCGCCATCCCCATCCATCTCTACTCCACTCTGCTCCCCGCTTCACCTCTCTGTGCACTCACTCCCCTCCCCTCCTCCTCTCCTCTCCCTGTCCTCATTTGCCTCCTCTGCCTCTCGCGCTTTTCACCGCCTCCCAGCTGAGCATCGCTCTACCTCACTCTGAAACAGCTGCTTCTTCATCAGAACGAGGCACATGAAAGATGCACTGGAAACCCTGGAGAGTTGGTGTGTGCCGCCATCTGCTGGTTTAGGATCAAAGTTTGGGACCGACGCTTTCATGTCCGCGCCTCATGTGTAAACACTTTCACATCATTATATATCTACTTACAATCCTTAAATTTAAAAGGAATACAAACTTATAGACAACAGTGTACATGAAAAGCAAGTGATCCGTCGGTTACAGAGAAGCGTTTCCGGCACCAACTGGTACTTCTGTAGGAGGAGCTCTGGGAATGAGTGCACAACCAGGTGTTGACCGATGATGAATTTTAGAAATCAGGATGGAAAATGGATAATATGCATAATTTCCCCCTCACAGTGACAGGACACACACACCGTCACAGACGCATGACGTTCTGTCTCAGTGTGTCCCCCTGCTGATTTTCTGCTATTCATATTCTGCGCTTCAGGCTGTGTGTGTGCGTGCGCACGTGTGTGTGTGTGGGGGGGGGGGGGGGGGTGTCTTGTTCTGTGTGAAAACGAAGCAGTACAAGTGATAATGTTGCAGGATTTCATAATTTTATCCGTCTCAGCAGCAGCACTGCAGGTGCTCTCCATGTCCAACATGTGCGTAAGCCAGGTCCTTAGTCAACTTAAAGTTGCGCACATTTTCCCGCTAAGTTTTCTTTGATAAATCCCAAAGTTTGCGTGGAAAGTTGCTTACGCAGTTTTCCGACCCCGTTTTGAGCGTAAGCACGCTTGATAAATGAGGCCCCAGGCCTCTGCTTTTTGCGGATGATGTGGTCCTGTTGGCTTCATCAGAACGTGATCACCAGCTCGAACGGGATCGGTTTGCAGTCAAGTGTGAAGCAGCTGGGATGAGAATCAGCTCCTGAAAACCCAAGACCATGGTCTAGAGTCCGAAAAAGGTAGAATGTCTTCTCCGGGTCAGGGATGAGGTCCTGCCCCAAGTGGAGGAGTTTAAGTATCTCGGGGCCTTGTTCACGATTGAGGGAAAGCTGGAGCGTGAGATCGATAGGCGGATTGGTGCTGCTCTGCAGTGATGCAGAGTTGTACCGGTCTGTCGTGGTGAAGAGAGAGCTGAGTCAGAAGGTGAAGGTCGATCTACGTTCCTGCCCTCACCTATGGTCATGAGCTTTGGGTAGTGACCGAAAGAACGAGATAGCGGATACAAGAGGCCGAAATTAGTTTTCTCCAAAGAGTGGCTGGGCTCTCCCTTAGAGATAGGGTGAGAAGCTCTGTCATCCAGGAGGGGCTTGGAGTAGATCTGCTGCTCCTCCACATAGAGAGGAGCCAGTAGAGGTGACTCGAGGCATCTGGTCAGGATGCCTCCTGGACGCCTTCCTGGTGAGGTTTTCTGGGCACGTCCAACCGGGAGGAGACCTAAAGGAAGACCCAGGACACGGTGGAGGGACTACGTCTCTCACCTGGCCAGGGAACGCCTTGGGATTCCCCCGGAAGAGTTGGCCCAAGTTAGCCTAGTGAACTAAACCAAATTCTTGCTTTGCAAAGATTGGTCTAGGAACGCTCCACTGGAACCTCTGCAGCCCCTAACAGCATTATGGCTGGCCAATCACAGCTCTTTAGAGGGGTTTCAAACACATAAAGAGCTGTGATTGGTCCATAATGGTGGGCCAATCATAGTGCTCTATCTGCTTAGTGAACAAATCACAGAGCTTTATCTGCTTTGTGGGCCAATCAGGGCACTCTATATGCCTGGTGGGTGGTATGATGCAACAGAGTGAAACAAGATGGCGACAGCTCGTTTGAAACGGCTTTTACATCAATTCTGGACTATTAGAACTTGGGCTTCATCAGAATCAGGAGCAGATAAATGTATTTAAGTGCTTTTTTTTTTTTAGAAAAAATTATGTGTTTTCTCCTTCAACTGCGGACCGCCTCATTTACCGATAACTGTTGCGGTGAGTATGTCACATTCATTGTCCAGTAGCATGCGGAGATCATTTGAAAGACAACAGTAGAACCTGCCGCACAACCGAGAGCCGTCAGTGGAGCGTTGCCAGACTAATAAATACATTTATTTAGTCTGGCTTGCCAGGCTAGGCCCAAGTGGCTGGGGAGAGGGAAGTCTGGGCCTCTCGCCTTAGGCTAATGCCCCCGCGACCCAACCCCAGATAAGTGGAGGGCGATCGATGGAGGGGAGGGAGGGAGGGAGGGAGGGATGGACGGATGGATGATGGTTTTATATTTTTGGATAGAATATTTTTTATATTGATTTCTGTGGCTACTTGCAGTAGAAATCGGAGCTAGCTTCTGTGACACATCTGGATCAAATTTTGTAACAGAATTAGCAGAAAATGCTAAATAATATCTTAAAGAGCTGAATTATGTAAGGCAGGTTTTAGCTAATCCTGTTATGGCTCACCATTATCTCATTCTGCTTCCTCTCAGTGTTTTATCTCGTCTTTGTTGTAAAGGATTTGTGTCTTTATCTTGTGGTGCTTGTGGGCTCACTTTCAGTTTCGTGGTTCCTCCGGTAAAATGACAGTAATTAACTATTGTGTTTGATCTGAATGGATGCGCTTCCCCAACCTGATTTTGTTTCAAATGCTATCTACAACAGCAAAGACACACACTGATCCACGTGTGATCTGATTCATGTTCTTCTCATCTGTGATCCAGCTGATAGATTTTAGGCTTATTTCTGCAGGGAGAACTTTGACATTGAAATTATTTTTTTCCCAGTCAAAACAGCGGGTCCGACATCAGTCCTTCCAACACAGGAACACTTCATCTTAACACTTGAACCGTATCAAGAAAATATTGTTAAAACCAGACAAATGTAAAAGTTGATGCTGTGGGAAATATCTTCATGTACCAAACAGAGAACCTGCCCGATCCCACAGAGCTTTAAAAGGTCCAGGTTACAGGTGAGCTTATAAAACTCATGTTCCACTTTCAGGCCACCTCTAACCAGACCCTTCAGGCTCCGCTCTACGCGAGTCCAGCTCCATCCCAACATCCAGTTCTTCCCAGTTTTCCAGATCGCTAGTTTAGCAGTTGCAAACAGAAAGTTAATTGACAGTAGTGTTCAGATTGGCCGTTATGTCAGAAAGTGGCACGAGTGGGCAAGAATTCCTTTTCCATGCTTTCTTCAAACCTGCGTCACGTGTAGCATTATCAGGCATCCATCTTAAAGAGCACGTCACGCTCCAAATCAACATTTTTTGGCTGATAAACTATATAAATGCATGTCTAATTGTGCTGCAGACACCTGTAGTCAATAGTTTTGCACTTTAGAGCATTTTAGTTAAAATAAAATGTTTCTGCCTAAAACTGTCAGTCTTGTGCCGTTGTCAGGTAAAAACTTTGCACTGCGTTTGAATTTAAATCTGCCATCGCTATTGGCTAAGAGGTACACTATGATGTTGGCTGGTACATTATGATGTCATAATGTCATTGTGAACCTGTGTGTGAGTGTATTTGTTAGCAGCTCCACCCTCTTGGTCTGCAAGGCAACAGCATTTGTTGCATTTTTCAAACAGGAAGTTGGAGTGGGGTAATACTCTGGAAGGGGGTGACTTGCTCTTTAACTCCTCTCACTCACTTCTCTTATCCGAGAAGCGGTAGACACAACAAGTAGTGTCTGCTTCTTTGTGATACTGTAACTGGGACCACCGGTCTGCAACCCTAAACATCCATGACGGACTAGAACATGACACCACTAAGTGCTCTACGGGTCGCTGAAAACTTAAAACATTTGAATGCATCTTTTCTGACATTTTTTGTTCCGTTTATAACTCCAGAAACAGGATCACTGATTTAAATAAAAGGAAAAGAGAAAGAAGGAAGGAAGGAAAGCACTCACATGCATGACTCTTTCATGCAAACGATATGGAAAGTACGAAAGTGAGATGCGAGGTGAGCGTGAAAGGGAACGATAACTCTGCTCGTGCAGGATGACAAAGTGAAAGCTGACAGACGTGCAGGTGGAGATGAGCCTACCTTTGTTTTCCAGCACAGGGACGTCTCCGTCTCTGCAGAGGGAGAATGCAAAATGAGATCATGCACAAGAAGTTTAATAAAAAATCAAGTTACTGCTCCCGGTTCTAAAGGTGAGAGCAATACATTTTGGTTTTGTGCGGCTGCGTGATGTTGTATTAAAACACTTCTGCTCTCTGAACAGGAACATGCGCTGCCAAGTGAATTACACAAACAGGAAGTGTGAGCTTTCAGATGCATTTGAAGCAGGACGCAGCACGTCTAAGAGTGACGAGGAGAAATCCACACCAGACCAACAAGTTCAACGCCCAAAGGCGTGGAAAACTGGGTCATCCGTTTCCCGTTTCCATCCCACGGCTGTAAAACGCCGAATCCAAACGAAGCCAAATGGTGAATAAGGAAATGTGGATTTGTTTGGCTGTTATTTCATCTGGCGCATCCAGATAAGGACCGGCGGTTTCTTTTGTTTTCATGCAGCTGCTCAGGAAACGTTTCTTTCTCTTTCTCAAGGTCGACCAAACAAGCCACCACAACTGGGCCGAGCTTGTTGGTTGTCATGGTGACCAACGTTTACCGTCAGCAAAACTGGATTGTTTGGGTGATTTTTTTTTTTTTTTGGTGAACATAATCCCGCATGAGTTCTCAAACTAAAATAAAGTAGCCGAGTGTCAATACACTCCACAGTGATCTTAGAATAATCTCAGTTGTGGTTTTATTTCCTGTCAACTTGGAAAAGAAAAACCTGGCAAACAAGATCTGATAGTCCGGATCACCCATATTCCATCGCTCACATATGGACCAAATGTGTGTCCAATCAGAACCGCAGAATGTTGATATGCGGGGGAGGCGATTATATCTTCCTGCTAAATAAAACCTGTTTTCGCCAAACTCCCTGCAGGAGTTCTCAGACTCAGACTTGTGAGAAGGGTTTTGGTCCGTTCCTGCAGACAGATAAATGTCACAAACATGTTCACGTTTCCCTCATAAACACACGGGCGTGCAGATAGGAGGCATCTGTGTGTAGATAAACGATTGTCGGTTACGCTGCAGCCATAAAACATCAAAAACAAAAACTCTTGACCTTTGCACCATCTACTTAATTTCCCTTCACTGCTTTCAACTCCAGTGACTACACATCGAGCCCCTTACATAGTTCTTCTGTTTTAAATCTTTCTGTCACACGTAAAAGTTTCAGACTGTAAACAAATGTCGTGATCTGCATTTGAAAAGCCCCGTTAAGGTTAAAGATCAGACATTCTCCTACAGGATCTGATTATTTTTTTGGGTCTTTTAGCCTAATTCTATCTGTCAAACAGAGTCGGATCCAAACAGATCTGGAAGTAATCAGGTGTGGCCGTGGCGAGTAGTGAGATGGTTGGTCATAGTTTTCTATAATGTAACACGGTTCAGGTTGGCTTGGATCACTCTTCTCAATGAAATGAAATCCTCATTTGAAAAATGTCCAGCGGCAGCAGCTTTATGTGAAATATTTCCCTTTTTAGTCCATAACAAAGTGAGAAATCATTTAAATTACAAAACAATCATTAAATGGCATTATGGAAGTTTGACAGCCAAAACATGTATAGAAATAATAAATTTCTTCTTCATACATTCTCCTGCAATGCCCTGGTCCTGTAGAATGAGTCCTGGCATTTTTACTGTGATTGCCTGTTTTTCTGTAAAATCACAGAAAAAGAGAGATGCTCGGGTCGAGCAGGCTGCTTCATGCGCGTTCACGCTCAGGCATAACCCGTAGCATTTGCTATCCGTAGCTTTAGCAGCAGAGAGAGAGGCAGTGCCACTTTGTCGCTGTTCCTAACGCCTAGTGACAAAGCTAGCTACATTTCTGAGGACCCTTAGCTACTTTCTGTAGAACTTTCTTCTAGATATTTCCTGCAAATTAGCAACAAAATAGCCATTTTCGCTCCGAACCGTTCTTTTGAACGTTGTTTCAGCTCTCATCAAGGATATAAATGTTACAGATACAAAAGACATCACTGGTGCTTTAGCTCACCTAGTAAGACGTCGGACTCTCGTGCGGAAGTCATGGGTTTGATTCTGGATGTGAACATAGTTTATTTAGAGTTTCTTTTTTACATTAATGGTATATTTTTTTACAGTAAGATGCCCAAATTTTTATTTGAGACTCGCCGAACGGCATTGAATTCACAGATAAAAAAGATGTGGGTTCAACTTTCATTTTGGAACAATTTTTCAAGCAAGGGAAGGGAATGATCTGAGCATGCAGGAGGACTGACCCATCATAAACCTTTGTCGGCTGTGCTGAAGAGAAAGGTACAGAACCTAATTATTTAATTAATTAGCTGCGTGTTCTCCTATCCTCTGTCCTCCGGGCCACACACACACACACACACACACACACACACACACACACGGGACTGTCTCAGCTGTTAGTTTCGTTAAGGAGTGTGCACGTACAGCATGCGCACCTCGTGCACGAGCCTACTATTGAAGCTGCCGTTATGCTTTTGGCCTGAGGAGGCAATCGCGAACATAAAAATTCAAAACTCCGTAAAGTCCCTTTAATTCTCTTCTCCAAATAAGCAGTTTTACATACAGTCAATTTTCAAAGTTACAGATAAATTAGACTAGAATAATAATATTAATACTCAAATACACAAGTCTAGCCTGGCCTGAAGTACGATGTTTATTTGTATATTTGAATCGAACCAGACCCTTTGCTTCCCATAAGGATGCATGGGCATGGCTGGCCAGGCTAACACAAGTCTACTGTATGCACCTTTAAAGGGGAACTTTGCAGTTTGGGCTTGCTTTTAGCACCCCCTGGTGTTCGTTTGAACTAAAGGTTGTAAAGCCAAAACTGAAACTCTTCTCCTCACGGTGCGTTTGAGTTTTTAACACCTTAATCCAACTGCTGCAATGTCTCCTCAGCCTTCAGTAAATTCTACAGGAGTGATTCGTCACAAAAACAAACAAATCGGCTGTATTCACGATCTAAAACATGCAGGATTCATGTCTCTGAGCTCTCGCCATTCAGAAAATACTCGATGTTGACTCTTGTTTGACTCCTATTGTGGTCGGACGTTCTCAGTACACCAGTAGGTGGAACTAACAGGCCAAAGAAATTTAAGTGAAGATTTAAACATTTTAATCATATATAATTAAACACATCTTACAGCAACACCTACAGGTATGATTTCAGCTAAATCTATATACCGTAAATCCTCTAATACAGGCCCGGGCCTGTATTAGAGGATTTCAGCTAAATCAGCAGTGAGTGTGAATGAGGAAGTGATGAAGAGAGGGGAAAGGTGATGCACCACCTTCTAACATGCTAGCTAGCTGTAGCCCCAGAGGCACTAAATTCATGAATGCTGATTGTTCCAAAATTCTTCAGTTCTCCCTAGCCACCAGATGTGATTGGCTGTTAAGCTGCAGTTCAGGGGCCCTTTTTCCAGTGCCCCAGGAGTGAAACTAGTGAGTTTGTTGGAAGACGATCACTGCTTATGTAATTTATATTGCATGTAGGCACACACAATTAAGCAAAATTGACACATTTAGATACAATTTATGTGTATATGTGTGTATATATATAGTTTATATATATATATATATATATATAAATATGTAGTAGTTTTATTTTTACTTTTTAGATTTGTTTTCTACCATCAAGTCAGGAAGGGTAGCGCCCTCTATGGACGAGTCACCGCATTATCTTTTTCTTAAACATTTAGTCCATCCATCGATCCATTTTTATCCGCTTATCCGGAGTCGGGTCGCAGGGGCAGTAGCCTAAGTCAACAGGCCCAGACTCCCCTCTCCCCAGCCGCTTGGACCAGCTCTTCCGGGGGAATCCCAAGGCGTTACCTGGCCAGGTGAGAGACATAGTCCCTCCAACATGTCCTGGGTCTCCCTTTAGGCCTCCTCCCAGTTGGACGTGCCCGGAAAACTTCACCAGGGAGGCGTCCTGACCAGATGCCTGAGCCATCTCAACTGGCTCCTCTCGATGATAAACATTTAGTGTTAAAAAGTTAGAATTATATAGGGGAATAAACGGCTTTAATGCTGTAAATTAACTCCTGTAAGTCAGATCTGTCTGAATATTGTATTGTATATCTGCTTCAGCTTCAAACACTTTTTATTTTGTAAGTTGTTCTTTCATGTTTATGTAATCAAGGTTTTTATTTGTCCATTTGGGGATTTTTCCAGGTAGTTCGTGCAACCTGAATAAGGTACCAACAATACATCAGAGGACAGTGACTCATCTGTGTCACTTTACCTGTCTGTGGCTGGGTCAACAACAAAGAAGGAAGTCCTGACTGGTGAATTTGTTTAAAGTAAAACAAACATTCACAAAAACGCACCACATCCGTGAGTTCATCTAAAATAATCAACAACAAAAGCATCTATATGCCTGAATTTAAGGTAAATGTTCAGAGAGCTTACCTAAAATGAGCTTCTGATGCTTTTTACAACTTTCTCTGTGACACATCAGTGAGTCATCTCGTGCAACAACAGAAACGCGTGCAGCTCAGAAATACCAAAACATCAACTTTTAGTTTGTTTTCTCATACCTTCTTATGGTTTTAGACATACTTTACAGCTAGGATGCTGTTCGTGCTGGGCTGCCTTTTGTTTGCATTAACACGCACAAACACATGAGCCCAAACGCGGCAAAAACACCAGCAAATACCGCACTTCCTGTGTGCGGGTGGCGCTGCATCCACGCTGCTCCAGTTTATCTGTTTTGTTGGATGTAATGTGGAAAAACTCACCCGTCCTCCAGGTGGCAAGCCGCCCCGCAGCTCGCCATCTCCGCCACCATCCTCTGCCTGAAACCGAACCCCGTTGAAGCGGTAGTTTCTCTTTTGACGCCGCGCGCAGCAGCTGTGCGTAAAAACCACCTGAGAGGCACCGATCGGTTCGGTTTAAAGGCGGGGATGGTCATCAAAGCCCTCGTGGCCAAACAGCCTCTTCATATCACACCTTCCTTTGAGTTATGCATCCTTATTTCATTTAAAAATCTTTAAATTCCCCCTTAAAACGGGATCGGAATCCATTAAGTCCACACGCGACGCGTTCGGAGCCTGTTGAGTTACACTGACGATCACAGGCTATTGTTTCCTTTCACAGATACAAAACACAATAAGGATGGGTAAAAATAACGCAGATCTCACCATCACGTTAACATCAACGCTACGCAGCAACACCAGGGAGAGATGCGTTAATGATCAGCGCTGCTGCGCAGCTTCTGCGCAGAAGCGTGAATGAGACCAGATGTGGGCGGAGCGCCGAATCTCCCGCCTTCAGCAGAGCGTTTATAAAGTTTAAAGCCGGGAGATTCCATGCTTCTGTTAATGTAGCAGACACATCAAAGCCAGTGTGGCTAAAGAGGTGACCGATGTTTCACTTTCAAGTTACATCAACTGCTGGATAAAACAAACCAGTAGATTTAATCCACTACAACCAGTAAAGGCTTTCTAAAGTCTTCCAACTGTTAAAGCACATTTAAGTGACTCAAGATAAACAAACAAGGGTACATGCATCAAGTAAGGCAAGCCAAAGCATCATAATTTTATCATTCTTTATCTCTATTTTATTTTATTAAAACATCATCATCATCATCATCATCATCGTCATCATCATCGTCATTATTATTATTGTTTTTATTTTTATTATCGTTATTATTATTATCATTATTATTATTATTAATATTATTATCGTTATTAATATTAATATTAACGTTATTATTATTAATATTATTATTATTATCGTTATTAATATTATTATTGTTATCATTATTATCATTATTATTATTATTATTATTATTATTATTATTATTATTATTATTAAATTCATATAGGTGAGTGTACAATACAAGTGCACGACTGGAATAAACATTAATTTATTAATTTTTAAACTGAAGCCGAGCTACATGTGCAGTTTCTCCCTGGACTATCGATGAGTAAAGTCCCATTAGTCAACACACAATGGTGAAATTTATAGTAGTAGCTAGGGACACAAAATTGTGAGAAACTACAAAAAAACAACTGTTCAAAAATGAGCCTCAATTTTTTTGCCGTTTGGTTGCCAACCTCTCCCAAAGCTCTCTCCCTTTTGTTCAGACTTCCAGGAGCATGATGATAACGTCCGGTCCCAGAGGAAGTTCAGAACTCTTGCAAACATTTTGAGACATTTTGGAAACTCCCCTCTTCTCAATTTGAACTCATCTTTGATTGAATGTTTTTCACATGTTACTACGATGTTCGCAATAATCAAGGACCGTAATCTGACGGCAGCAGCCTTCCCTTTCTGCGCATGTCACATGGAGAGGGCATGTTTCAGGGCGATGAGGAGGAGGTCTGCTGCAGGCTATCAACACTAAGCACAAGGTTTGAAGCAGAACTACATATAAACAGTGTCTATGACTTGGGGGGGGGAACTATTTAGGAAATTCTGTTTCTGCTTCATTAAACAAAGTTGCACGAAGATAAAAGAACATAGAGAGGAAGAGAGCTAGAAGCCACGCTGTCACATGGGCTGCCAACTTTTACAAGAATCTCAGTGAGACTTTCGTTATTTCAGGGGATGAGTTGCTACTGAAGGTCACTCCAAAGACCATTATGTTTGAAAAAATTACACCATTTGTCAGAGAAAGTCGTTTCAGCCACTGAAGGGTTAATTAGGCCCTAGTGTGCTTTGATGAGTAAAATAAATTCTCTAAAAGAGAAATAAAGCTTTAAAAAGGCAGACTGAAGTTTTCAGAGGCAACACACATGAATTTGCATGTAACCTATTTTTTATTTATCTAATTAAATGAGTTTATCAAATTAAATCAGCTGTTATGATCGACATTTTACCAACTGTCTGTTTTTCTGATTACCTTTTCATTTTGGGGCAGCAGTAGCTCAACAGGTTGAGCGGGTTGTCCAGCAATCGGAAGGTTGGAGGTTCAATCCCGGCTCCGGACAGAGAATTCTGCTGTTGTGTCCTTGGGCAAGACACTTAACCCACCTTGCCTGCTGACGGTGGTCGGAGGGACCGGTGGCGCCTGTGCTCAGCAGCCTCGCCTCCGTCAGTGTGCCCCAGGGCAGCTGTAGCTACATCGTAGCTCATCACCACCAGTGTGTGTGTGAATGGAACAATGATACGCTGTAGTCTAAAGCACTTTGGAGTCCTTACTCTGAGAGGTGCCATACAAGTGAGGATCATTTATCATTTATCATAACAAAGCTATTAGAGTACAATATTTAGCTCCATGCCCTCCTCTGGCACTAAACTAAACACAAGTCTCTCACTAAGACTGAGCTGCCTCCTGTTGGTTCCCATGTTACCGTTGAATACACTAAACTGGATTTTTGTGAACGAAAAATTCCATTTGTACCATCATATTTAAAACTGTTACACAAATAAGGTTTTAATGGTGTTTTTAGCTAAAACATAAGATAAAAACACTGTTAGAGTGAGTCTGCGTTGGTGTATTTTATGAAATTGTTTTAAGAAAGGGTTTCTCAATAGGAAAAATCAAAGATTAGGATTCTTCTCCTCCAGCTTCATTGAGAAAAGAAGGCAACGTTCTCTTTTAGCCCTTTAGGCCCTAGGCCTTTTTTCTTTGGGCCCCAATTGGGGGCCTTTGGAGTTTCATGTCCCAAGTATCAGTGATGGTTTGCGTTCCCCGAGCACAGCTACAGCTACAATCACAACAGTTTAGACTGTAAACAAAGCAGTTTTTGGTTTTTGATACATTAAGATAAAATAATATTTGAACTTTGTTTTAGAAGAGCTGCCCTGTGTGAAAGTGCTGACAGGATGGAGGTTGTGAGTTCAAATTCCATTTAGGAAATTTAGTCAATTGTTTTATTTATTCCAGGGGTCGTCGACTAAATTTGTTAGTTGTTTTTTTTCCCAGCAGACACCGGAGAAGGTCAGAAGCTCTTCTAAAATAAAGTTCAAATATCGTTGTATCTTAATTTATTACAATTTAAAATGGCCTTGTTTCCCATCTGGGCTGTTTGGTTGTGGTTTTAGTTGTGTTTGGAGAATGTGGACAGTTGCAGATGTTTGGGACATGAAATTGTAGAAGCCGCCAATTGAGGGGGTGTTAGAGTTAAACAGGCTAAACGGTTCTCGACTCGACTCAGGCCCTGTCCACACGTAGCCGGGGATCTGCCAAAACGTAGATATTTTTCTACGTTTTGGCCTGTCATCCACACGAAAACAGATCTTTTTTAAAACTCCGGCCAAAGTTAAGATCTGCGTTTTCTCCGTTTTGGGTGTCTGCGTGTGGACAGACAAAACCGGAGTTTTAATGTCCGCAACGTCACTTTCCGCGACAAAAAATGCTGACATCACGTGTGCGACCTGTGTTTACACTAGCCGGCATCATGGAAGCCCTCAGAGCTGCGCTCTGTCACTACCCGATCCATCAATTGTCCAAGCGCTTTTTGCTTGTTTGGTTTTGCAAGCGGAATTACTGCTCCTTGTGGAAGACCACAGACGAAGGACGAGGTTAAGAACGGGGGAAGTACTGCCGCCTACAGGTCTGGCATGTCCTTAACAACGTATTTATCCGGGTACGTGTGGACTAGGCCTCAAACGTTATTCATATAGCACCTTACAGACACATACATGCCACCGAAGGGCTTCACAGACACAGATAAAAACATAACACACACAATCCATGAAATCAGTTCGAAATCTGGGTGTTGTGATTGATGAACACCTGACCTTTAAAGATCATGTTGCCTCTGTTGCTCGTTCATGCCGCTTTGTGCTGTATAACATACGAAAGATCAGACCATACCTAACACAACATGCCACCCAGCTCCTGGTGCAATCTACCGTCATCTCCCGCCTCGATTACTGCAATTCCCTTCTAACGGGTCTTCCAGGCTGTACTGTGAGACCTCTTCAAATGGTCCAGAACACAGCGGCGTGTCTGGTCTCCAATCAGCCAAAAAGAGCACACGTCACCCCTCTGTCCATTGAGCTCCACTGGCTACCGCTAGCAACACGCATCAAATTCAAATTGCTAACACTAGCATACAAAGTCCGAGACGGTACGGCTCCCATCTGCCTGAATCCTCTTGCAAAAGGCTTACGTCTCGGCCCGGCCGCTCCGGTCATCGCAGGATCGTCGGCTAGCAGTGCCTACACCACGCTCAGGACAATCCAGACTCTTCTCATGCATCATTCCACAAATGTGGAATGACCTACCAAGCACTACCAGAACAGGGGCTTCCTTTTCAATTTTCAAGAAACTCCTGAAGACCCTGCTCTTCAGAGAGCATCTTCTAAACTAGCACCCTCCCTGCACCCGTCCCCCTCTCTACTGTCCACTCCTTGTTCCCTCCTCTCCATTATTGATGTCAAGTTGTTGTTGTTGTTATTGTTGTTGTTAGCCTCAAGGGCAACATGCCGATTATCACTTGTAAGTCGCTTTGGACAAAAGCGTCTGCTAAATACATAAACATAAACATAAATGAATAAAACACAACCAAATAAAAACATACAAATGAGACTAAAAGAGCAGCAAAGTCAATCACTCCACAGATTTGAATCCAGTTAATAAAAATGGGTGTTCAGCTTTGATTTCAAAACAGCTACAGAGGAGGACTGCCGAATGTGTAATGGAAGCTCGTTCCATAGTTTTGGAGCTGCACTGAAAAGGCTTCGTCTCCCCGCATCTTCAGCCGTTACCGGGGGACCACGAGCAGGGATAGGTCTTCTGAACGGTTGCCTGAGAGGGAACACACAAGTGCAGTGTGTCTGCCAGATATGCTGGAGCCAAACCATTTAGAGCTTTAAAACCAGTCAAAGAACTTTAAAACAAATCCTAAAAGAAGCAGGTAGCCAGTGTAGAGCTGCCAACATGGGCATGTGGTCAAACTTTTGTTTGCCCTCCAAAAATCTCCCATCAGCGTTCTGAACATGTTGCTAACAGGCCAGGGCACCATGACTCACTCCGAACAGGATGGAGTTGCAATAGTCCAGGTATGAAGTTGTGAACGTATGCACAACAGTTTCAAGATCCCGTCTGGACAAAAATGGTTGAACCTTAGCCAAGCGTCTTAACGGGTAAAAGGGGGTCTTAGTCCATCTTCACTCCCAAGTTAACAACATAGTCCTTCAAGTGTGGGGTTAATCCACCATGGAGGTATCAGTGTGACAAATGGGACCAAGGA